CTCTCTCTCAACCCTCCATGCATGTCACTTCCTTTCTGCCCCCACCCCATCACTCCTTCTGCCCCTGTCACTCTCCCGGCCTCCCAGCTACTTCCTCCCCCCGCCCTGGCAGCAGTGGCACCAGCCGCTCTCCAGGAATTATAACGGATTGCCCAAATACGGAGATCAGTTCCTCTTAGGGGTGCCAGTTCCATGTTGGGAAATTCCTGGATATTTGGGCGGTGGAGCTTTGGGACAATGAGGTTTGAGCTTGGAAGTGACCTCAGCAGGGTATAATACCATAATCTCCACTCCACTCTTCAAAGCAGCCATTTTCTCCAGGGGAACTGATCTCTGTCACCTGGAGGTTGGCAAAATTAGTTCCCCTGGAGGAAATGACTGCTTTGGAGGGTGGCGTCTATGGCATTATATCTGACTAAAGTCCCTTCCCGCCTCAATCCCACCATCCTCAGGCTCCACCCCTCAAATATCCAGGAATTTCCCAACCTGGAGTTCCCACCCAATAGCCAGCCTACCTTTTCCTGTCCCTCTGTCTTCAGCTTTCCATCTCCTTTCCCTCTGCAGCTTCTACTAAGCAAAACTATGGTCTTTCTCCACAGTGGAGACTAAAGCAGTTTACATTCTTTTCTCCTCCTTTGTATCCACACAACAACTCTATGAGGTAGGTTAGGCTGAAAGTATGTGACCGGTACAAAATCACCCAGTGAGCTTCCACCGCAAGACGGGGGTTGAGTCTTGCAAACCCTACTCTGAATCTCTGACCATTATACTACACTGACTTTCTTAGGGTGGCTGCTGTTGAACACTTAGTTGAATTATGCAAGTCAGGTGGTATCAAGTCACCCAGAGGGTGCTGCTAGGCCTAGGTTTGCCAAAGGTATTGGTGAGGAATTCAACCCTCCCCAAGTCCCCTCCCCTTTTTTGGATTTTTATACAGACTCATGGAGTCCCCTGAGTGTTTAGAAAAACCTGTTGGGGGAGAGTGTGCCCCCAATCTGAGGAAATAAGTATCCGCATGCAAAGGGGACTGTTGAGAATTAGATATATAGATATCTATATCTCTCTCTATATATATAAATACGGGTGTCCTGACTGATTCATCAATGCCCAGCTCAAACCCATGAATCTAAGAACACGAAATTCGGGGAGTGAATTCCTTCCATGATGTCAGTACCCACTAAGAAGAGATTTTTAGAAATTTGACCCCTAAGGGGGTGAAAAGGGGTAACCTGTGTTTTCCCAAAGGGGTAAAAATTTACTGTGTGCCTGGCAGGCTGCTGCCTGCTTGCACCCCCCCAT